TGTGTGCTACTGTGCTCAGCAATAAATTTAGTTTTAAGCAGTTACATAACTGTGGTTTATTTTTAAAAAATTCCATCTATAGACTTTGTCTATAAAAGTAAATATTAAAAATATTACTTAGAAACACTTCAAGTAGATAAGCAGATTAAAAAATGGAAGAGGGATAGACTTTCTGATATAATGTAAAATATTTACTATTTAAACTTAAGTGAGCATCCTCACATTATAAATAATTTTTAACTTAAGCCAACTGGCAATTTTCCACCTCATCCTAGACTTTCAGGTATAGAAAAACTATGAAGGAAAAAATAGGCTGATTTTGCTATATATAATAAAGAGTATTGGTTATACTAAGCAAGATAAGAACCAAAACTATTTTTTTAAGTATATTGAATTATTTAAGTATATTCTCAGGCTTTGAGAACTTCTGGACTCAGTTTTTAAAAAAAACCCTTAATACTAATGATTATTYAATCGGGGAAATGTTTTTATTCAACCAAAACAGCAACTTCAGCAGAAACTAAATATAAAATTCTACTTGGTTTCAAGTCTTGTCATACAGAAGAGGACTTTATAAGGATAAAATGAAAGAAATATTCAAGACTTTTTGAAAATGGTAGTTTTTTYCCTAGAAGAATTAGAGTACTTGTGAAATTTATAATACTTAACAAGTCTTCCAAAATTAAAATAAGGATATTTTTATAACAAGCTACTTTATATTTACACTATCCTGAGATTTGAGTATGAAGTAAGTAAAATGCCTCAGTTAACCCAGGGTCTAATGCATACTAGGCAAGCACTCTACCATTGAGCTACGTCCTTAGCCCATCATAGCACCTTTCTATGGTTTCTAAAGGTCTTATTTTAGTCAGCTCTGAGAGAATGCACAGCAAGTACGGGAGGCTAGTGAATTAGAGCTCTAAATTGTTTAGATCCTGACAAGCTACTTTATATTTACACYATCCTGAGATTTGAGTATGAAGTAAGTAAAATGCCTCAGTTATTGTTTGAAAGTTATTTCAACCAGGTTTTGATTGCTTTCTGAAACTTTATTTAACATATTAAATACCACAAATTGTCACAGGTTATTTTTTTATACTAAGAGAATTATAATCTTCTAAGTAAGCCAATTCTTGATTCTCTGCTTGAAATAACTAAAATTCCATCTGAAATGAAAGGTCAGGATAATTCTGACACTCCACTTTTTACAATATTTGAAATATTGATTTCTATTTTTCTCCTTGACCTTCAGCAGAAGCCATCAGAACTTAAAAGTACAGATTAAAAAGCCGGGTGGTACACCTTCCTTAGTTGCACACAGATTCTTGCCCACCTTTTCTCTCTCTCTCTCTCTTTCTTTCGGTACCAGGGATTGAACCCAGGGGTGCTCAACTCCTGAGCTACATCCCCAGCCCTTTTTATGTTTTATTTAGAGACAGGGTCTCATAAGTTGCTGGGGCTGGCTCTGAACTTGTTATCCTCCTGCCTCAGCCTCCTAAATTGCTAGGATTACAGGCGTGCACCACTGTGCCTGTTTGCCTACCTGCTTTCTAATAGAAATAGCAGCAGCAATAAAACTGGTTGAGTGACCAACTGTTACAATAAGGAGGAAAACATCAGTCAGACTGTAGCCAGGGTCACCTGGCCATTACAACTTCTATTTCCAAAATCAAGAAAATAAAGTGATAGATAAAGAAAAATTCTCRATATAGAACAGGCAGTGATAATGAGGTCATTTAGCCTGAAAAAAATAAAACTTCGATTAGTTATTCTACAAATTTTATTAAAAAGCAAAAGACTTGATTTTATCTAAATAACAGAATATTATGATACTGCTTTATGTCTYTCCAGAGTGATATTTCTGTGATTGGTTGCCCAATTTCTTCTCTCTCTCTYTTTTTTTTGTACCGGGGATTGAACCCAGGGGCACTCAACTACTGAGTTACAACCCCAGCCCTATTTTGTATTTTATTTAGAGACAGGGTCTCACTGAGTTGCTTAGTGCCTYGCCATCACTGAGGCTGGCTTTGAACTTGTGATCCTCCTGTCTCAGCCTCTGGAGTGCCACTGAGCCCAGCTGATTGCCCAATTTCTACTCTCTTACAGGCCCTGCCTAATGCCATTATCGTAGCACCTTTCTTTTTCTTCTTTTCTTTTTTGTGGTGCTGGGGATCTAACCCAGGGCCTAATGCATACTAGGCAAGCACTCTACCATTGGAGCTACCTCCTTAGCCCATCATAGCACCTTTCTATGGTTTCTAAAGGTCTTATTTTAGTCAGCTCTGAGAGAATGCACAGCAAGTACGGGAGGCTAGTGAATTAGAGCTATAAATTGTTTAGATCCTGACAATAATTGATTTCATAAACGTTTTTTTAGGGGGTTCGGAGGCTGGGGTCTTGCTCTGTTGCTCAGGCTGGTCTCGAACTCCAGGGCTGAAGTTATCCTCCAACCTTAGCTTCTCAAATACCCTATTTACCATAGATTTCATGCCAATTTTTTTTTTTTTTGCAAAAAAAGTGGAGTGTGATTATTATTGTAAAAGTTTATTTTTAAAAAATTATGCTAGTATGATTTAAAAATCGCTTATTACTACACCATCTTGGGGCAATATTAGGATATGTGGAATATTTGTGAATTAATGTATATTCACAATTACGGTGGTAACAATTATGTGGTGAAAGACACAGCTGGAACTATAGGTATGCACCACCATATCCAGGATACATTAAGATTTTAGAAAAGATGTCATGGGGCTGAGGGTATGCAATTCAAAGAATCCCTGGGAATGTAGCTCAGTGGAAGAGTGCTTGACTGCTTGACTAGAGTGTACAAGGCCTTGAATTTGATGCTCAGCACTAAAAAAAAAAAAAAATCCCTGCATCTATCCTCTATCCTCTCATATAATAATTGCTGAGTGGTCTTCAAAAACCATTAAAACTTTATACACAAACACACACATACAACACAGTTACAAATACACAAGCTCACCACTGGCATTATTCATCCAGTGGGCAAATAGTAAATTATTCTCCAATAGTCCATTAAATCATCATCATCATCCATAACCATCTGCAAAACTATATGTCAAGATTTTACTTATATTTATGTTACCAAGACCAAGAGGAAGGTTTATAAAACAACTTGTATATAACACAAGAACTAAGAGTAGTAAAATCATTTGTGCAAAGAAGAAATTTTAGAACCATCAAAACAGAATTAGAGGTTTTGCTTGGGGGAAGAATGCAAGATTATTTTAGTATTTTGGCAAATTTAGTTGAAGTGATACAAATTTGGCAGACTCCAAAGTYGTCTTGGAAAACTTCTCAAATTGTAAATGGAAAGATTTTCCCCCAAACAGCCCATTCACAGTACTTACAGCACTGAAGTTAGCAAAATTGCTTGGGTCAGCCTCTTTATTGGTAGTGGAAGTAGAAGAAGAAGTGAATGGATCACAATACATATCAGGATCTTTTTCTTTGGGGCTATCATTGCCTGGGAAAGGCTGAAATGGATCATTCACTTTAAAGGGATCAGAAGAATCCAATTTGTTGATGGGTCTTTTCCCTGGATCAAAATCATTACAGTTAACTCAACCAGTAAATATGGCAAACACAAGCACACAAGAACATGTA